CCATGTGTAGCAGCTTCCTAAAGCTGCAGAAGGGTGAAAGAAACCACGGTTGGGTTTTTGGTCTTTTTCATGTTTGGAAATCATTTACTGTAATTTCACAAGAAAGGGATGCTGTTTGCTAAAATTCCAGAAGGAGATTAATTTGCCAGCTTGTATTATATAATACCCATTTTCCTACACTCAGCCTCATTTTGGCAAATGTAAATACAGTAGGAAATGAGATCAATTTATTTTAGTATATTTCTGAGAAAAAATTACTTCATAGCCTGCGGAATAACAGGGCAATGCAAATTGGCCTTATGTGGGTATATGAATGAACATGACCTTTAAAAGGAGAACAGAAAGAGGATTGAGGAATGTGGACATGCACTTTAAAAGTTCTGGTTTAGAACTCACAACAGATTCAAGCTATCCAGAGTAATACCTTGGATGACGTAGGTATTTATTTGAGTGGAATGGTTTCACGCAAAATGCTCTGTAGTCAGAATACTTGCTTCAGCAGAGTGATTTCAGATTGCTTTCAAATGTAGAGGCTTGTGATTTAGATGCAGAAAAGAGCAGATTGTTTGTGCTGGCATTCATTTACTTTAATCTGTCCCAAATCTCATATTCCACCAGATAATAACTATGACTTGACATACTCTTGCACATTTTTTGTTAAGTTGGAATCTCTGAACTTGGAAAGTCCACCATATCTTACCCTCTGTTGGTTTTTTAAAGACTCTGTAATAGTTCACTCTGAAACTTTGCTGATAAGATTGTTGCTCTTGAGAAAAGGGTGATCTGTTCAAAGTTCAGTGGTAATAGAATTCCTACAATGTAATATAATATGCTTTATGTACTTTCCTTTTAGAAACTTATATCATAGACAAGTTTTACCCTCTATAGTTTGTCAAAAATTTGTGTTCATGATTAATCTGCGAAAGCAACTCAGAATTTAAGTAATATACTTATGTGAAATTTATTAATTTCTCTTTATAAGTGGAATGAGAAGGTTGTACTATGCTTGTGTAGGGCTTGTTGTATTATTTAAGAAGGTGATCTTCCCACCTTGAGACATGGCAGAGTCATGAAAATGTCAATAGGTAAAGTATAGGTGAATGGAAAAGTAAAGACCTGGTAAAGACCCACATCCACCCTCTGTCTGCTGGAGCTGCCTTCTCTGGGTCCCCTTGCACTCTGTACATAATCTTGTCATAGCAACAGCCGCTCCCTTGGTGCTCTGCCTAATTTGAAGGTCTTGGCTTGTGTAGATATCTTTGTATCTCTGGTGTACATGGGTGCTTAGTATGTGGAGAGTGAATAAATACATGAATATGTGCGTAAGTAATCACGTTTGCTTAAGATGACGAGAGAATGGAGGTCTGACCCTGGCAAATGGGGAAAGGATAAGGCCCATCCAAGAATCCAGAATAGCAGCCGTATGAACCTGGGGACTCCGGAGATCCAGGCTGCGCACCAGGCTGCTGTTAGGAGAACAGTTTTGAAATAAGGCAGAGAGGCTGGCTTCTCCAGAAATTTGGTTATCTGAGAAGCTCAAACTGAGCACAGAGTGTAGAAAGGGGTAAAACTGTAAGAAGTGACAGTGACTTCAAGGCTAAAAGGGTTAACAGAGGAACCAGTAAAGAAAGACCCTGGATGAGGCTTGCGATACACTGGCCTCTCCTGGAACTTCCTGAATGATGCGAGAGGAGATCCGTCATTGAACTGAACTGAACGTACTTTCAAGTGAGGTCCTGTGCTAGTTGTGAGAAATGCGGAGCCCAGACTGTCCTCCAGCAGCAGGCAGGGGAGCTACGTGAAGGCGAAGGAAAGGTGCTGTGGTCACAACTCCAACAGTATTGCCTTCTCAGGAGAGGTTTTGCCTGTTTAGCTTCTTCTCTACTCTGTTTTGTTTGTTTGTCCTAGAGGAGGTAGAAGCTACCCAAGAGGACCACTGTGGGAAGCTCATCCAGAGAAGCCTTCTGACTTGGGGCAATCTGAAAACCACTTGGTCACAGCTGCCTGTACAGGGTGGGGGATTCTTGATTCATTAGTCCCCATTCAGGCGTTAGGATCCAGATGTCGTGTGGAACTGAGGCACAGAGAAGCTATGAACCCTGTTCAAGGTCACTCAGCTGATACACTATGAAGCCTGAATTTGAACTCAGTCTGGTTTCAGGATCTGTGCTTATAATATTAGTCTACACTCCCTTGATCAGCATAGGAACCACCTGCCCTAAGCAGGGCTGCCAGGGGAAGGATCAATGTACAGGTTTAAAAAGCTTCCTCTGCAGTTGACCTGATGAGGTGGTGGCTCACGGACCAGGCAGTCCTACAATTGTGTGTGAATAAACCGGGAGGAACAACTAGGCAGCCAGATAGACTGTGCAACCCAGGGTTCCAGCACAGGGAGACAAAGCCTCGAAACCTCTGACTATGGAAACCTGTGGGGGTTGCAGCGGTGGGAGAGGCTCCCAGACTCACAGAAGAGTTCGTTGGAGAGACTCACAGGGTCCTAGAATGTACACAAATCCACCCACCTGGGAATCAGGCCAGAAGGGTCCAATTTGCTTGTGGGTAGCAGAGGAAGTGACTGAAAGCCAGCTGAGAGCAAGTGGCATTATTCCCTCTTGGACCCCTCCCCCACATACAGCACCACAACACAAGTGACAAGGGTTGTCCTGCCCTGGCGAATACCTAAGGCTTCAGAACCCTTACTGTGTAACGGGGTGCAAAGACAAAAAAAATATGGCCCTACTCAACACATCAAAGCTCCAAAACTAGAACTAAGCAGTGAAGAGATAGCCATCCTTTCAGATGCAGAGTTCAAAACACTGGTAATGAAGATGCTCACAGAATTGATTGCAAAATAGAGGAAAAAGTGAAGTCTATGCTAAGTGAAATAGAGGAAAACGTACAGGGAACCAACAGTGACAGAAAGGAAACCGAAACTCAAATCAGTGGTTTGGAGCAGAAGGAAGAAAGAAACATTCAACCAGAACAGAATGAAGAAACAAGAATTCAAAAAAATGAGGAGAGGCTTAAGAACCTCCAGGACATCTTTAAACGTTGCAACATCCCAGTCATAGGGGTACCAGAAGGGGAAGAGGAAGAGCAAGAAGTTGAAAACTTATTTGAACAAATAATAAAGGAGAATTTCCCCAATCTGGCAAAGGAAATACACTTCCAGGAAATCCAGGAAGCTCAGAGAGTCCCAAAGAAGTTGGACCCAAGGAGGAACACACCAAGGCACATCATAATTACATTAACCAAGATTAAAATGAAGGAGAGAATCCTAGAAGCAGCAAGAGATAATGGGACAGTCACCTACAAGGGAGTTCCCATCAGACTGTCAGCTGATTTCTCAAAAGAGACCTTACAGGCAAGAAGGGGCTAGAAAGAACTATTCCAAGTCATGAAAGGCAAGGACCTACATCCAAGATTGCTCTATCCAGCAAAGCTTTCATTTAGAATGGAAGGGCAGATAAAGTACTTCCCAGACAAGGTCAAGTTGAAGGAGTTCATCATCACCAAGCCCTTATTATATGAAATGTTAGAGAGACTTACCTAAGGAAAATAAGATCAGAAACTATGAACAGTAAAATGACAACAGACTCACAACTGAACCTAAAAAAATAAAAAACAAACTAAGCAAACAACTAAAACAGGAACAGAATCACAGAAATGGAGCTCACAGGGAGGGTATTAGCAGGGAGGGGGCAGGGGGACCATGGGGAAAAGGTATAGGGAATAAGAAGCATAAATGGTAGGTACAAAATAGACGGGGAGGTTAAGAGTAGTGTGGGAAATGGAGAAGCCAAAGAGCTTATGCGTATGATCCATGGGCATAAATAAAGATGGGGGAATGCTGGTGGGAGAGAGGGTACAGAGAGGAAAATAAAGGGAGAGAAGTGGGACAACTTAATAGTGTAATCAATAAAATATGCTTAAAAAAAAAAAGCTGCCTCTGGCTGCAAAATACAGGTTAGTGGGTTGAATTAACTCCCAACTCCCGAAATGAACTATCCTAGCTTTGTTGAAAAATAACATGGCTACTTGCTTCCCCCCCCCAGCAGTTAATAATTTTCTGCATTCACTGGATAAAATATTGAAGACTTAACAAATGTTTATTCCGATCCTTCTCTCTCCTCTTTGAATAGTGTTCTTTGCCTGTCATCATTACATCGGTTGAAGATGATCTTGGCCTTTGTGATGGCTACAAAGCAGGTCGAGATTCCAGGGGTAGGTGCTGGGTTGTGGTTAGGATCCCATTGATGCCAGAAGAAACTCACTAGACCTAGGTCACCTGGGGCTGATAGAGGACCAGGGGTTGTAAAGTGGTCACTGAGGTCTTGGGAGATTTCAGATGCAGCTGGGCCTCTCTAGTTCTTGTTGATTCTCTTTGGAAATCTGCTCAAGTCTCCTTTCTCCCTCTCTTTGCTTATGCAGTTCTCCACTCAGCCTAAAAGTGGCTCATGAGGCTTCTGAACCCCCACTTCACTTGGCCAGTTTTCATCTTCTCTCTGTATTTAGGGCTGGCGTGTCTGTATGTCATTTAGGTAACTTTTTAGAGCCAAACCTTGAGCCACTGGCCAGCTTGTGGACTAACTGCCCTAGACACAGGCTGCCAGCCTTGAAATGGTCACCCCCGTGCAGAGCCTGGCTCTGCCAGAGTCCAAGCTCGGCCACAGAGATAGTAGTGGTGTCAGCAGTACTTGTTTGTGGAGCATTCTCTTCTTGGCAGATCTGAGTCTTGAAAGTTTGTGAAAGGATGGGTGACAAATACTTCCCTTCCTTATGGCATTCTTAATACATAAGCATTTCCCTGGTGGAATGTCTGCCTAGTTTTCTCGTTGGCTCATGCCGTGCCTGCTTTTAAACCAGGGGAAGACAGTGAAGGGAGGGGCGTTTCTGCATATTTTCAGGTGAAAGGAGCACCCTGTTTCTGGATGGTGGGGTTAGGTCTCCACTGTGTGTTTTTTTATTCGGTTTCATTAGCTTTAGGATTACAAGGAATCATCGCTTCTCGGCCTTTTGGCTAAGATCAAGTGTAGGATTATAAGGAATCAAATTCAGGAAGCAGTTTAACTCTTAGTCCTTGGAATTTGCTTTTGCTTCTGTTTTGGTGCTAGGGGGATTCCACCCCCTCATAGCTCTTTTTCTGCATCTTTCTATATAGTTAGTGAGATATTGGAAGAGGTCACAGTAGGAGCCGTGGCTGGACAATGCTTTAACCTTGACTGTACATTTTGACAGGTTTGAAGCTCTGGTGTATGGCATCAGACAGTCTAATAAACCTACTTTTCTTCATCCCTCTGATTCATCACCATCAACTTTGAGACTAATAGTAGTGTTAGTGTCTGGACAGTGACAGACCAGTCTAGAGAAGGAAACAGATGAGGCAGTCCAGGGTCCTGAATTTCTAGCAGCATCAGATACCTCTTCATTAGGTCATACAAACCCAGAACAGTGAGTGGTGCTGCCCTTGGATGATTTGCCCGACACATGTTATATAATTGCACGTTAAAATAAGAGGTGCCAACTTCCTGTTATAAAATAAAGTAAGTCACAGGGATGTAATGTACAGCATATGGAATGTAGTCAATAATATCATCGTAACTTTGCACAGGAACAGATGATTACTAGGTTAATTGCAGTGATCATGTGGCAAGTTATACAGGGCCAAAAATAGGCTTGTAGTTGTTAGTATGGAGAAAGACATGCTGATTATGAGTATTACAATTGCTTTATTAACTCTGTGTTTCACATACTCAACCTGAAAACCTACTTTTGCCTCACCCTGTATAAATGTTGAATATTATATTGTATACCTGAAACTCATATGATATTGTATGTCAGCTGTACTTTAATTTTTAAAAAAGAATGAAAAGGAAATAAATGCACATTAACACTCAAGTGTGAAGAAACAAAGGAAAGAGTATTGGGTAATGGAACATCAAAGACAAAGAATACAGATGCTTGTTTATTATTTTAAACTTTGGTTAACCTCTCCATTTTGTGGGGAAATTTCCCAATGTTAATATTGCATTAGCCTCACATTCAATTATCTGAAGACTCTTTAACTAGGAGCCCGAGACCAATAGGACTATTTGCACCTTTTCCTCAGTTGCTTTTTGCAGTGAAAGTGACACATGGTTTGGAAGTGGAACATTATAGTTTCCAAGTGCTCTGCTGAGAGTTCGTGTATCACTTTAACATGTGTTCATTGTGATTGTTTTTAATCAACTATTTTGTGAAGTTGATAGAATAAAATTTTTAGAGTTTATAAATCTGACCACTTTAGCTATGCTAGTGTGTTTCAGAATAAACCTTTTGGATGCCTTACAACACATGTGCTTTGGCATTTATGTACAAGTACTGACATAGCACTGTTTTAGCTACAGCTCTCTGTAAGAGATAAGCTGTGTGTGATGAATACCAGGGGGAGACTTATTCTTAGGTTTAAATTACACTTTGTGTGTTAACCTCTACAGCAGCAGCTCTCGTAATAAAGTGGCTTTTGAGGAATGAGTGGGACTTCAGCACATCCAGAGTTCTAGCTGGCTTGGGGGGGGTTGTGTGTGTGTGTGTGTGTGTGTGTGTGTGTGTGTGTGTGTGATGCATGCTTATGCTCGCCTTTCATCCCAGTTCTGTTTTTGATAAAGGTAGTAGTTGCTTTTATAGTTCTGATTCTGTTCTGTTGCTTTTGCTTACTCACAGTGCCTTGCTTTTGTGTATGTTTTTTAGTTCCTACTGCGAGTTCATATTCTTAGAATTTTGCCAGCGGCCATTCTGAGGCCAGAGTTGAGGGTGGGCTCCCTGGGGAGGAATTACCTGTGCTTCCCCCTGGTGCCCGGAGGCACTCCTGACCCCTCCTGACCCAACCCCCTGGACAACTGGAATTGCAACTCTCCACTTGAGGTGTTTTGGACCTCAGGCTACTTTGGGCCACAAACTTATGTAAGGTCTGACTTGTGATTATGAATTCTTGTAGGTGCAAGAGCCTTCTGTCTTCCCTTAGAGCCAAGACTGAGGCAGGCAGTTGCGTTTATAGTCCTAAGGTGTCAGTTTAATTTTAATCCTCCCAAACACTGAGGGTGTGGTTTTTTGGTGTGGCTTATTAGACACCCTACTTGGGGCAGGCCCTGGGCTTTTTGTTTGTCTGTTGTTTGTTTCCATCTCTAGCACCACTGTGAGACTGGAAACACAAGCTTAAGTCTACCTGGCCCAGCAAAACCACTTGTAGTCCCCTGCTTACTTCTTAGGATTCCCGCCTTCACTTAATATTTGGCTTCTAATATTTCTTACTAACCAGACAGGTCATATCTAACTATCTATTTTTAACGTTTTATCTAATCTTTTTAATTTCCAGTGTCTAGATCAGTCAGAATACCTACTTGGGACAACCCTCCTCTCCACCCCCAAAGTGGAACTCTTCAGTTAATTCCTTTTTTTTTAAGATTTTATTAAAAATAAAAATAAAGTCTTAGGGAGGGAGGGAGGGAGGGAGAAAGAGGGGGAGAGAGATCGATGTGAGAGAGAAATGCCACTCTGTTGCTTCTCTCTCGCTCCCTGACTGGGAACAGAACCCATAGCTCAGGCATGTGCCCTGACCAGGAATAAAACCGGTGACCCTTCCCTTTGAAGGATGACACCCAGCCAGCTGAACCACATGAGTCATGGCCCCAGTGAATCCCTAAGATTGCTTTGAACCTTTCTCTACTGAGCCCGCTGCAGAACTGGCAGGCCCTTTTCAGAATTCACATCCGATGCATCCGGACGCCACGGTGCTATGCAGTGCTCACTGTTTGTTCAGAATCCCATTCTAGTCAGGCAACTCTGGTTTCTAGGTCCCTTTTTCCTACATGGAACTAAATTCTAGTTCCCTCTTACTTCTCCCAGTTGTTGAATATTCTGCTCCTTGAAGCAGCACAAGTACCTCTGCCTCTCCATTGGGCAGCTCTTCAGGTGTGTCCTTCCTCATTCTTCCCCTGTTCTGCTTTTTGGATTAAGGGCCCCCAGTGTCTATCACTTCTCGGGCAGTGTGACTCCGGATCTCCATTCCCAAACATCAGGATCTCTGATGTTTCCTTCTGTTTGATGACTGGCTGTCAGCTCCTCAGGCATTACGTATTCAGACCTGCATCAACTATTGCAAGCATGGCGGACGCTTCTTTCCATGCCCTTCATGGCTTTGTGTGAGTGGCTCTGTGGTTCATTACAGTTCACGGAGCTGTAATCACGTCTTTCCTCCTCACCCCTGTTCTCCCTGCCCTCCAACCCTGATCTTTTTCGTGTGAACTGTCTTAAGGCAGCTGTTATTCATCCTCAAATTATGAATAATAAATACTTAAAAAAGGTAAATGATGTGCTGTTATCTCATTCCTTTTGGAATGGGCACAGTAAGCCCCTGATGTGATTCTGTTTATCTTTGCTTAAGAATAATTTACTTGAGTGGAAAATGATCTAGAATCTCAAAAACTCTTAAATTGTTGGTTTAAAAACCTAACACTTTGACTTCATATTTTATCAATTAATTCTGCCTGCAGAAGTTGGTAGTTATTCAGTTATAATTAAAAATAACTAAATCTATTGAATTAATATGCCTCTTGCAGTTATAGTGGCCCTTCAGGTATTTTACAGAGGAGTTTCATTTACTGTCTTTAAGGGAAGAGATTAAAGTACTTAAAAATCTCATTTTATCCAACATTAGATATCAATTGCTATTTTACATTGACTGTATCAATTAGATTTCCTGCCGATTGCAGTCGTCCAGTATATAATATATCAAGAAAATCTATTAATTATAATTTATATTCTTGTTGTAGTAATTTAGAAGACTTTCTAGCAGTGGCAGTAATAGTTAAAGGTGTTTAATTTTCTTAATCCATCTCCACTTATTTTGCTCTTCTCAAAATAACATCTTGGTTTCTCATGTTCCTGTTTTGATTTTGTGACTTTTGATGGTGGGTTCACTAGTTTGTGTAGATTTATTATAATTACATTTATGGCTAGATTTGTTTTAAATTTCAGGCAGTGAATTTGGTGTCTATTTAATAAGTTACTAAGACCATTCAAGAAACTAACTGGACAAGAACACAAAGCATGTGTTCAAAAGTCAGCCGAAGGGCAGTTTCAGTGTCTGGGAATGCGTTTGCCAGTGTTGTTAACCAGGAGGGTCTGGGGGTCAAAGGTATTTTAAGGTTTGCGCTCTCCCTCCCGGGAGCACACCTGTACCTTTTCCTTCCCCCGCATCTTCCCCTCAGGCATGCACCTCCTAAACTCCAGGGATCCCCACAAGACCTGTAACCAGGGGAGCCGTGGGCAGTGGCAGCTTTGTTTGGGACTGACCCCTGAACCTGTCTCCAAGGCCCCCTTTTCTCTGACTCCCCAGTGAACCGACAGAAGCCCCGCCTTGGCCCATTGTTTCTGGAGAGTCAAAGCAGCCCCTGGCCAGGGCCCTTCCTTGTTTCACTGTCTCCAGCTTTAATAAATGTACTCTTAAAATAAAAAGTTACTTTAAGGTTCACACAAAAGGATTTATTCGGTGAATGAGGAAAAACAATCCTTGCCCAGAGATAAAAGAAGTTAGAAGAGTAACAAGTAAGGAAGGTAGCTGAAAACTTCCTTGAAATGATTAAAGCAAATGGAGAGGTGAATTAAGCCTGCTTTATTAATGGCAAAAACGTTTCTTCGTTGATTTTGGTTGGAAGTATGAATGAACTCTAAATTGTATCACATTTTTGGAGAGGACTTTTAATGCTAATATCACTTAGTGACTTGAGATATTATTTTAAAGTATAAACTCACCTTAATAAAAGGACTAAAATAATGGGAAACATTAGTTATTAAACCACAAATGATATTTATTACTTGCCTTGGTCTGTATAGTTTCAAAGCTTCAAAACCACTTGCATTATTAGTTTTAGATAATCTAGAAATATGAAGATCTAGAAATATGAATATCTGTATGTTCTTTCTTTGGGATTGAAAATAGGGAAATAATCCTCAAGAAGAGAATATTTTAGAATATCTCCTTTTAAAAATCCTTAATGGGTTTCACAGGAGGATACCTGACTTGTCTGACCTGGTGGCAGCCCCATCTGGCAGGTGAGCACCGACTGTGGGAGGTGCCCAGAAACACCGTAACGCTCCTTCTGGTTTAACATGCGCTGACGGTGGAGGGAAGGCTTTGATGGTGTGGG